GTCATAGTCATAGTCATAGTTTATAGACTTGTAGACTTCTAGCACTTATTGCAGGAGTGCAGCCTCGAGGAAACAGCTGCTGCCACCGCAGCTCAAGCAAGCCTGGACGATCCAGCAGCCCAGCCAAAGTCACCCAAGGCTTCGGCTGACAGCCAGGCCGACCTGGATTCTCACGCAGCCGAAGCGTGCATGGGCAATCCAGCAGCCCAGCCAATGTCCCCCAAGGCTTCGGCTGGCAGCCAGGCTGACCTGGATTGTCGCACACCGCAAGGCCGACTGGGACCTACAGCTCCAAGTCCAAAGTCACCTCCGTTGCTCGGCCGTCAGAAGCAGGAAGTGGCCCCTCCGGAAGGAGCAAGCAATCTGGAGGGCGAGAAGGAAGCCAAGGTGGGACGCGGACTCGGACCGATTGATTATTGATATTCAGATATTCAGAAACCCCAAAACCAGGACCAAAACCTTGAGCCTTGAGACCTTGAGCCTTGAACTGGCCCTGAACTTCACTGAACCCTAAACCCTAAACCGGCTTAAACCCTAGATTTCTAAACACCTCAATTCATTTCACTCACGTCACTAGACTCAATTCTTAATCTTCACTAAACCCCAAACCCTTAACTTAACCTAAACCGCCTAAACCCTAACCCTGCCCTGCCCTAGCCTAAGCAGCCTAAGCCTAAGCCAACTGAGACTTAGACCGGGCCCTAAAACCCTAAACGCTGAACAGCTTAAGCCCTTCTAACAGTCAATACTAAAATTGGTTTAGGCCCTAAAGCCTATATCATCCTGCCTGTCGCTGCGACTCAAAAATGCCTTTCCTAACTTTAGCCGAAAGCGACAGAGCTTGACCAAGACTAAGAACTAAGACTAAGACTCCGACTACGACTCGACTGCAATTTACAACATCAAATCAAAGGCACAAAGGATTGGGCCCGATTAGGCTTACAGCTTACATTACACTGCGGCAATGCCTTAACCGGAATAAATTGAAGTGAAGTTGAAGTCATTGAAGTGTTTCTGCTTGAGTACTCACCAAACACGACTCAGTAGTGGAGGCCGTTTGTGGAGTCGACCCCGCCACGCAGCAGCTGCTCGAAATGTTCGACCGACTGGATCGGGGGTTGGGAGCAGACGATCCGGATGATTACTTTGAGAAGGTGCTAGAGGCAATCAAGCAGCACCCTCTGTTTGATGCATTCGAGTCGGAGATGCAAGTCGAGTATGAGAACATGTGGTGTTTTGCAGAAGACCCTCAGAGCGCAAGCGAAGATGCGGATGCTTTCAGAGAGTTCTTGGCGGACCAGGGTGCAGTCGTTCCGGCTGGCAGCCAGGCAGCAGCGCATCCGCTTACCAGCAAGACTGATGGCAACAAGGTGCCGCCAAGCAAGCTCGGCGACTTGGCTTCGGCTGGCCGCCAGGCTTCAAATGTCGCAGGCTCTGACTCCGAGAGCGACTCCGAAACGAATCGAGCCTTGCAGGCGGTGCAAGATGCTTTCCGAAGAGCTCCTGCAGTGGATATAATGGGCAATATGGGGGCCTTGCAAAAGTCGGGGCAGCAAGCAGACGAAGAGGAGGAAAGCGTCAGCAGCAGCAGCAGCATTGGCTCGGGCTCGCTTCTGAAAGCTGAGGAGCCGGTTCAACAGGACAACGTGGACTTCAAGTTGAAGCCACCTGCATCTTTTGATGATAGTTTTGCCTGGTTCTTCTTACGCGAGGCTTGGCCAAAGCTCAGCTTAGAAGAGCGACAGAACTGCCGCCGCAACGTGACCAAGAGCACACACGCACTGGGTGAGCGCGTGTCTCGGGGCGCTGGCAGCCGGCTGCCAATTGCCACAATGTGCAGTGGTTCTGGGATGGGAGAGTTGGTCCACAGAATCCTCACAGAAGNNGCTGTTCCTCCACAGCTGTGAGAAGGAGCGTTTCAAGAAGAACTACCTCTTGAAGACCGTGCACCCGCTGCTGACACGGTCCGGCCCCGCCGAGGATCAGCATGGATGTCTTTTTGCTGAGTTTGGTGATCTGGCCTGCGGCCAAGCCTTTTGCGAGAAGCACCAACGAGTGTGTGTAGTCCACGAAGTGCCTTTTTTGATTATTTGTGGCTACAGCTGCAAGAATTTGAGCAAGCTGAATGCCAGCAGCCGCGCAGGCGTTCTGCGAGCTGGCCTTGGGTCCAGCGGGGAAACCTGCGACCACCTCCTGAACTACCTCAGCTCTTTCCGCCCAGCGGTTGCTTTGCTCGAAAATGTGGAGGAGATGGCCCGGGACTCTGAGGACAGCGATAACGTCGCTTACTTCCTTGGCAGGCTGGAGGAGATGGACTACGCTTTTGCCACGAAACTCCTCGACTCCTCGAACTACGGTTTGCCGCAAAAGCGGCTGCGCTCGTTTCAAATTTTGCTGAACCGCAGGGTTTTTGAGTCTGCAGATGCTTTGGACAAAATCGCTCAGAAGATGATGAGCACGGCTGTGCGACTGGCCTGCGGGAAACCAGAGTCCTTGCGGTTTTTTCTAGACGCGGACGACGACCCCTATGTCGAAGCCGAGTTTTTCCGCAAGATCGATGCCCAGCAAAAGCTTGCGCATGCAACGCAAGAGCGGCATGCTCAAGAGACGTGGCGCCAGAAGCACCGTGAGTTTTTCGCTTCAAAGAAGGTGGCCTGGTCGCAGCTGGTTGTGCCCGCGGATATCCAGAACAGCCCTTGGTTTGGATCCCTGTCAAGCAGAGAGAAGGAAACTCTGGCATGGGGCCTCATGAGCAGCGGCTACAAGCCCGAAGGCAGCGAGGAGGCCGCGACCAAGTCGGCTGCTGGTCTGGACTGCGCTGACAAGGAGGAGCAGCCGGATTCGGCTGCCAGCCAGGAAATCAAAAGCAACAAGGATTCGGCTGACAGCCATAGGCGGCAGGAGTTCCGGTTTGTTGCCGTGGATCTGTCGCAGCGCATCGATCGCGTGAGGACCAGCACTGCAGGCCCGATTTTCACCATGCTGCCGTCTCAGAAGGTCTGGATCTGGAGCTCACTCCACAACCGTCTGTTGACGGGTCGGGAGGCGCTCAGGCTGCAAGGCTACCCGCTGGAACCGGGGATTTCGAAGGACGAGATCTCGGATCCGCAGATGGCGGACTTGGCGGGCAACGCATTCCCCGCAACAGTCGTCATGGCACTGCTACTCGGAATCTACTCGCATTTGCCAGACTACGTGTGGACAGATGACGAGAATGTGCCAGCAGTGAGCAGGCCTAGGATGTCGGAGCCCGAAGAGCTGCAGCTTGTCCTCCAGGGCTTGGACGACAGCGACTGACCCGGTCGGGTGAAAAAATTCGGCTGAAAGCCAAGCGGCACGTGCGACAGTTTCGGCTGGCAGCCAGACCTCTAGGCGGCAGACTGCAAGTTGTGTTGGGACTTGGGACTGGCTACTGTGGCCCTGGGGCTCACAGCCGAACGGCAGAGCGTGAGCGCGCGCGAGATTCGGCTGACAGCCAGGAAAAGTCCTGCGGCTTGGCGTTGAGTGATGCGTAGCGGAGCGCAATGGCTCAAGTAAACCCGGCGACGCTGTAGCCTGCAGCCTGTAGCCTGTAGCCTCTAGCTGACGCTTTTTGAGCGGCCGGTGGCCTATAGACGAGAAACTGACTGGATTGGAGTGACTAAGAATCTTCTAATTATTTATTATTTATTGTCGACACTGTAGACAGTGACAGTAAGTCAGTAAGTTATAAAAGTCTGTAAGTCTGCACGTCTGCACTGTGTGACACTGTATCTGAGTATTACTACTGTGACTGTAGTACTGTAAAGTACTGTAGTACGACCTACGCTTGTGCTTGTACAACTGTGTTACTGTGTTACTGTATGTAGGATGATCATTCATGATTCATGTACTGTATGCTGTATGATTTATGAATGATTGGTATGATTCATGATGCATGAATGATACTGTAATACTGTATGACTCCATGAACTGTATGTACTGTACAGTCTGTAAGTTTGTTAGCCACAGGCCAGCAGCTAGTAGGCCACTCGGCCAAGTGACCGTGCAAAAACAAGAGAGCCCGACTGACAGGGTGCAGACCGCGGACAGTCTCACAGCGCTTGGACCGTTGAAAAACGCAGCATTTGCACAGCAACTGTTAAGTCAAGTGAGTCAAGTGTGAGTCCAAGTCCAAATGTTAAGTTCAGGCTGAGGCCGAAGTTCAGGCCAGGCCCAGGTCAAAATTTGATTCGGTTTTGATTCTAGAAATTCTAGTGAATAGTAATAGTAGTAATAGTAGTAATAGTAAT